GGTTACTATGAATATACTGTGATGTCGTTTGGTGTATCTAATGCACATGGTTTGTTCATGGAGTATATGAATAGGATTTTTCATGAGTATTTGGATAAGTTTGTAGTGGTTTTCATTGATGATATTCTGATATACTCAAAATCTGAAGAAGAACATGCTGAGCATTTGAGGACTTTGTTGCAAGTATTAAAAGAGAAGAAGTTATATGCAAAAATATCGAAGTGTGAGTTCTAGTTGAAAGAAGTGAGTTTTCTTGGCCATGTGATTTCAAGTGATGGGATTGTTGTGGATCCTTCTAAGGTTGATGTTGTGTTATAGTGGGAGACTCTGAAGTCTGCTACTAAGATACGAAGTTTTCTGGGGTTGGCAGGTTACTATCGCAAGTTCATAGAAGGTTTTTCTAGATTGGCTTTACCATTGACTCAGTTGACTCGAAAGGCTCAAGCTTATGTGTGAGACGTTGCTTGTGAAGAGAGCTTTGTGGAATTGAAGAAGAGATTGACGATCGCTCCGATATTGATTTTGCCTAATCCGAATGAATCTTTTGTGGTGTATTGTGATGCATTGAAGATGGGTCTTGGTGGAGTGTTGATACAAAATGGGCAAGTTGTTGCTTATGCTTCGAGACAATTGAGATTTCATGAGAGAAATTATCCTACGCATGACTTAGAGTTGGCAGTTGTGGTGTTCGTGTTGAAAATTTGGAGACATTATCTTTTTGGCTCTAAATTTGAAGTGTTCAGTGATCATAAGAGTTTGAAGTACTTATTTGAACAGAAATAGTTGAATATGAGGCAGAGGAGGTGGTTGGAATTATTAAAGGATTATGATTTTGATTGAGTTACCATCCGGGTAAAGCAAATGTAGTGGCTGATGCATTGAGCAGGAAGTCATTGCATAGGGCAATGCTTATGGTGTAAGAATTGGAATTAATCGAACAGTTTCGAGATCTGATTTTGGTATGTGAAGAGACTCTTGACAATGTGAAGTTAGGTATGTTGAAGCTGACTAGTGGTATTCTGGAAGAAATCAGAGTGGGTCAACAATCTGACTTGAGATTGGTTGATCAATTGGCTTTGATTAACCAAGGTAATGGAGGTTAATTCCAGATTAATGAGAATAGTGTGATGAGATTCAGAGATAGAGTGTGTGTTCCAGATGTTTCGAATATTGATAAAAATCTTTCGATGAATCATTTAAAATTAATTATTTTTTGTACATAGTAAATAAAGCAATTACGTCATTTCAAAAATAGGATTCTACAATTCAAATTCAAATTGTGTAATGATATTTTTGAATTTTCTTTTCAATAAGAAAATGAGGTATTTAGATAATGAATAGTTAAAATAATATTTTCCTAATCTTAAACGTTCATTAAAATATAATGAAACTCAGATAATGATGGATTGCATTTATTTATATAATTAAACATTTTAAAAGAATCATACACGTAGAAAATGATATACCGATTTACATACTTATTTATTTAAGAAAAATAATTATTTTCCAAATATATATATTATTTATAAAATAATGTTAATAATTCATATAAGTGTTGCTTATGTGAAATATCGTATTTCAAAATTAAAACTAATAAAATCAATAATATTTCAAAAAAAAATTAAATAGATTGACTTTATTATTTATTGAATTTTTTTTTATAAAAAAATCAAAGATAATTTAATAAAGAATTCTGCATCTCAAAAAATTTGAAAAAATATTTTTTTTTTATAATTATTATACATAAAAAAGATAATTTTACAAAGGCCTAATTCTTAAAGTTGGTTTGGTTAGACTTTAAAAAAATTCATTGATTCACTAGGTTGTTACTTGATATTGAGAGTTGTAGTGTGATAACAGTGAGCAAGTACAAGCGTCTGTTAACAATTTTTTAAGAAATTCTAAATTTTTTTTGCAAAATCATAGTTATCAATATTGCGGATGTAGCCACTACCGCAACGCAATATTGCAGCCGCATCACGTGATGCAGTCCACAATTTAAAACATGGACTTATCATATTCATAAACATGACAAATGTTCCTAACAACTCTTCTGCAACAAACATTGGCTCTATTGTGCTTAGCTTCTCCATCTTCAGAAAAAACCATCTATACGAAGAGGATGCCATTTAGTCAACACCTCAATCCTATTAATGCCAAGACCATGAACTCCCACAAAGACTCGAGTGTAATACTATTTTACACACTACATAATCAATTTTAAAAGACTTGGGATGTATACGTACGACGAGTTTCGAAAAAGCTGTGTGATATACGGGTGAAAATGAGTTTAATGTCTTTGACTGTATATGAGAAATTAGGCTTAAATGGTATCACTACTACAAATAATGTTTTTAATGTCGCACGCGAACGAGATATAACATTGGCTACCATGACAACGTAACGAAGGGTGACATGAAAATATGTCACTTAACACCTCGGTTAATTAAAAACTGAATGGTAAGTTATCTGATCATGGGTTCGAACCCTAACATCTGCATTTTTATTATTAACATCTCGATTTTATTTAAAAACCGAGGTAATAAACCCATATTATTTATTATGTCGAATTTATTTAAAAATCGAGGGATGGATTTTTTTTAAATTTTTTTTTACATTTTTGTTTGTACTTACATAAGCATGTCACGAAATACATAATCATATTTTGCAGATTTCTGAAATAGAAACATTGTACCTGCATTACAGAACCATATCACAGAAGAACAATTGTTTACAACAAATACAAAGCTAAAATTGGACAAACCTTATAATTTTACAACAAAATTAAATCAAATGATTAACCAACAAAAGCAATTACCAAAATGGAAAGTCTTGTAGGTTGTACAAAAATTATGTGCTAAGATTTATCACTGGTCGTTAAACACCTATAATTTAAACAATAATTTAAGCCAATTAGAATAATCAACAACAACATTAAATCTTTAGTAAAATAAATAAATAAAAAGTAAAATAAAAAATTATAAATTACTAAGTGATATAAACATTAACTTACTAGTTTTTCAATATTCTTTCTTTATGATCATGACAAATAGCATGCACATCATCTAAATCATTTTCTTGAGATGGTTGATGTACATGTGTTACGAAACAAGGGGTTTCGTAGTCAACATCTTGATTTTCATCATGAAGATATTTTTCTTGAAGTACAATTGACCATCTAGTGTTAGAGGGATCATTGCCATAAAAAACCTGTTTTGCTTGGATTTCCATGATAAATGGTTCGTTCTTATAAGTTGTCTTTCGAAGATCAACTCGTGTTAATCCTAATTCATCAGTTTCTACACTAGCGTTACTATCAACCCACTTGCACTTAAATAAAGTCACTTTAGAAGAAACATAATCAATCTCCGTAATCGGCTCAATAAACACAAAGTACCTCTAGATGCTAGTACATGATCGTCATCTTTTCCACTTGAGAAGTACATGGATTCAACTTCACCTATAACCCACTATTTTGCATGTTACTACGATCATCCTTTGATTTTATATAGAATGAATATCTAGTAATGCGATATGCACTTCAAGTAATTACATTAACCTTAGGCCTACGTGACAACCATTTAATTGTCTTCAATGCACTACTCTCTTTAGAAACAATTTCATTAAACCAAGTTATGAAAATTTTGTTATGTTCTGGCAACGACCATTTTTCATTCATCTGGGGGTATTTTTTTCTTAATAAGATTTTTGTGAGCAGTCAAGTAAGGTTAAAATTCATCAAGGTTATTCAATACATACAGATGTGCTTGAAGAACTACATCTCAGCTAATTAAGGGCCTTAATGTGTGTGACATTATTATAAATAATTAAGGGCCTTAATGTGACTGTCCTATATGGAAGATGATGAAATTAATAGGAGAGTGAGATTATCATACAATGACATGATTTGGACTAGTATGTATAGCAGGGAGACTTTTGTCTGTAAAATGCGGTTTGTGTTGTCACAATATCCTTGGTGTTAATTTTAGTAGCTATTGAATTAGCCTTTAGTTAATCCAACTTTGCAAACCACGTATAAGCATTTGTGATGCTATTTTTCTTAAGTTCTTTTTCTGCCATGTTGTTGCACTTTATATGTTTTAATATACAAGCAAAATTACTTGAGGATAAGTAACAATTTAAATTTGTGTGGAAGTTGACGACATGTAAAATGCACCATTATATTAGCTTGACATGCACATGTTTTTGGATAAAATTATGAACTTTTGTGGTTTTATGCTGATAATTTGTTTATATTTTAGGTAATAATCAATACGAAGTTTGTATTGTCATGACGGGTGCAACCCAATCATGACTATCGTCAACAACCACAAGGTCCAGACCGTTAACCCTGTTGCACCCTAATTTTTGACCTTAAGATCCCACCTCTGTTTTGCATTTTTTTTTCTCTTATGTTTTATCCTTTTACTTTTGTGTGCATATTCATTATGTCTAACAAGCCGTACAGATGCACTGTTTTCAGATAGAACTGACATTCGTCCTTTCAATTTAATGCTTCAGAGAGTGAAGGTTTTTTTCTTCCGTTGAAGCTGTACGCAAGAATTTATGGATTATTATGGTCATTGCAAGGTTTGAAGTTATGGAGTTATTTGAAACTAAATGGGGAAGATAAGAGAGATTTCAGTTCATGATTTCTTTTGAAATAATTCAAGTTGGTGGAATTAAAGATGTTAGATATGCTAATTTTGGAAAGCCCATTTATGAAGTTTCTTCTTATTTTATTCTAAGCCATATTTGAACGCAAATTATTGATGTTGAGTTGGAGAAAATTATTTGTTGCCACAAGAGTACTATTTCAGTGGAACCTTTCAAAGAGCTTCGCTTATTGGAATTGGAATTTGTCTAGTCGATTAAGTTTTTTTGGTCAAGGCCAACATCCCTTGAGTCACGTGTTCGGTACATTCATTACAACCAAAGACACCTTGCTATAAAAATGAAATATTGATTCTGCATTACAGACAACCAAACTTTTTGTGTCTCTATAAGCTACATAGTATCATAAACACGGTTGACAAATAACTAGTAGAATACTCATGAGCATAGAAATTGGGAAGAGTAACTTTCAGGTAGGCATCCACAGATAATCCTCCTGCCGGTATGTTTTTCCAAAACTTCTGCCAACTGCGGCCTTCATTAAAGCCTTCCAAAGCTTGGAGTTTGGTTTGCAAAAGTTGTCTCGTATTAATAGAATAAGTGTAGGTTGAAAGACCATCAAGAACTCTGTCAGCAAAGATCTGCGAAGCTGCCTCTGTAGGATGGTATTGATCCCGGAAAACTTGGTCTTGACTAGTGGGACAAGGCTGTGACACCGGCAGGCGAGGAACCCTGGCATTCAGCTTTCCAAGTCCCCACAAGCTGCTTTCACATCTGTAAATCCCGAAATGGGTGCATAAGTTCCTTTTAGTATCAAATGTCACAACAACAGGTTGTTATATGAACTAGCGCAATCATCTACCATGTTATGACGCGTGTCATGGTGAATTAGTGATGTTTAAGGCTAATAATATGAAGAAAAACAGAAATCTCACAGAGGTATTTGAGAATAACGATAGTAACACCACAGACAGTTGGAGGTCACTCATTGCGGCATAAGCGTTGAAATAGGAGTAAATCATGCCTTCATTCTCTGATTGCTATTCTTTCAACATGAATTGAAGGCCTTTGTTATATTGAACTGATCAGCATTTGGTTCCAACAACACACTCCATTTGGTTCTTCGTTTGAAGGCGGGGTAGCATCCAATCATCCTAACTCCCGCAACCGTAAGCTTGTGCCCACCGTTATCATATATCGCTGCAAAAAGAAAGCACCGATAAGAATATTACTATCCTCTAAGCATATAGTGTATAGTATAATTGCGCAACTATATCTTGTGTTACCCACAGTCGCAGTTTTAACGAGAAAGCATGGAATCAACATACTATTGCAGAATGTTTTTCTTACGAGGTTCCGATGACCCGATTATCCAAAGATACCATTGCTTCCAGTCATCGCAGCAAATTGATTTTGAGATACACTTTTGTAAAGCCCTTGCTCCCACTTCTCTTGACAGTTCCTCATACCTAACTGAGTAAAGCTCCGCTTGTTTTCCCAAAGGCATTTCCTACCAACCTAACCTGCACAATCAAAAATGGCATCACCAAATGTGCCCACAACAATGACAACAACACTACAACATGGATATACTTCAAATTTTATTACACCCTTTTATCTACCCAAATCAACATTCTATATCTCGAAGCCTCTGGTAGATATTTTTCAAGGTTCAAGTTTGAACTGCTTCTCATCTAGATGGCCAAGTCACAGTTATGTGTACAGAAATTGAGAAGAAGGACTTTAGTTCTTTAGATACCAAGGCATACTTAGTAGAAAGCACCTAAGGTAAAAAAACATTATGTACTTGCTCTATACATTAGCAGGCTGAATATAAACAAAGTATAGGCCATAGTTCACCCCTCTACATTGGATAGTTACTGACCACGGATTTGAGAAGTCTTGAGAAAGTTGAATCCAAGGGTAGAATCGTTGAGTGAAGAGGCGCGTGTGCCACCAATATCTCAATCCGCAATGAGAACTCCCATGAAAAGTGGTCCACCCTTTTACATTTGTTGTTGGAAACAATAACAATATTAACGACACCACAACAGCACTCGGTCACCATTTCCTGCAAACCGAAACGCGGACACATTATTTGACCTCCAACGCAATCACACTTAAATGATTAAATTGAAAAGAGGGAAACCATCAGACTTGTAAGAGGCCCAAGTCATTACCATTTAAATACAGAGGGCATTCGAGCGCCGGCTACGACATTCTTGCCACACCAGTCATTGGTTCATCCATTTTGCACTTGTAGGAATTTATTCATTGGTCTTCCCCATACCTGCGAGAATAACCAAAGTCATCAGCTTACAAAGATCCTACATACCTTCCTTTATTCGATTGATTAACGCTATCTTTGAAAACCATAAAATTCTTACCGAGAAACGCATACTCAGCAACAAAAGGAGTTGGTTCCAGCAAATTCTCCAATTCGTAATGTATCTAGCGTGAGAGATTACTCCAGAAGAGCTTGAAAGCAAATGCTATAATTAGAATGGAAGAGCCTCCAAATCAGTATTAGCAGTAATATCATTACTCTTTGATTTGGTGACTATAATCCATGGAGATACGTTGCAAATGCGCTGCAAACAGAAGAAGGGAATGGAGTCAATTGTCTTTCCATTTTAAAAGTGACATGTTCGAACATGTTCTAATCTAAAAGGAAATAAATTAAAGCGAGAAATCAACGTGTGACATTTTCAAGTTTGTCTTCTTCCGGCCAAACCAACAAGGAAAGATGATTAAGCACATTCAATTCAGTTTTTTCGAAGTACCATAAGAGGACAGGATTCAGGGGACTTTCAAGAAAAAGAAATTGACAACAATCCACAATGTTCCCAGAGAAATCCCAAATCCAACAAAAAACCTAAAAATGCAAAAGTTCGAAAAGAAAGCACTTATCTGTGTGTTCGAATCCACCACTGAAACGGCAACTGTTACGCTGTCCGAACTCAAAACCACCGGCGAAAACCCACACCTAATCCTTCCGCCAGCCATCCGTCCACCACCGAAGGAACCATCGTCACCGTCATCGCGGGTAATGTTTTCTTCAATCGGTGTTCTCATTTGTGATTGATGTGTGTTTTGTGGGTTTTTGTTTGATAGGAAATGGAGAGGAGAAGAACGGGTCGTAGAATGGAAGTGGAAACAGTGAAGAGAAAAGAAAGAAGAAACGTGAGAAGAAGAGAAATGAGGGAGAAACGAGAGGAGATTGGCGAAAAGAGAGACGGAGAAGACGGCGATCGGGGGGAAAGTGGATTAGGGTTGCGATTCATTCTCTTGTTCTGTCTATTGTTGTAACATAATCAAATACGCGCACACACACCATAGCTATGGTGCACACCTCACATACACCCGTCAGATCCAATGTCTGACGCGATCTCACGGCCTTATCGCGCAGACCATCATAAACCCCGTAGACCACACACGCACAACCTCTTGCCCAGCCTAATCACTCCCTAATTATACCGTTAAAACCACTAATCCCTATTAATTCATCGTTAATCAACTTATCATTTATTTAATTAATTAATCAACTAATTAATTATCCCTTTTCTTTAATCAACCGTGTAAAAATCCCCTTTTAAATTAACCATTTTAATTAATCCTTTTTTTAACTCTTTAACTTAATTTATCTAATAATTTCTTATTCACCTTCTATTTAATTTTGTCATCAATCTTAATAACTCTTTTTATAATATTTAATTTACTCATTTTTTTAATAATAAAAATCTTTACTTCGTCTAATTTAACTTTTATTTATTTAAAATCTATTTAATAATAATAACTAAAAACTCTTTTATGAAAAAAACCTTTTTAATTTAATATGTTATAATAACAATTTTTATTTAAGGATAAACCTCTTCACATTTAAATTAATTTTTTTTAATAAGGTAAAAATAAAACCTCTTAGATATTTAGACTTTTTTTTAAAACCACTTCTTAAAATTTAATTAACCGTCTAACCTTTTACTAGAACACGTAGCTAATATAATTAATACCACCTTTTTATAAAATCAACCTCACCAAATTAATTAACATTTCCCATAAAATTAAAATCACTTATAGTTATTATCTAACAATATTAATCTCGCTTAAAATCAATCCCACGAATAAACTAATATAACCTTCGCCTAAAAACAATCAACATCGTAATGTAATTCAATCACGTACGCTTACACCTCACACTCACAATTCACTTTCACGCACTTAGCACTGTCATGCGTATGTGTATGGTTTACTTTCCGCAATTTATTTATTGCAATTTATATTATCGTAATTTACATTCCCGCATCGCATTCTGTCCAAAGGAAAAACCTACACATGATTCAACAATTGTGTGTAGTGCACATCATTCGCATCATTCTCCCCTATGATCCTTGATCCCATTCAAGTTGATCAATTAAGATAGATCTTACCCCATAGGAAGGACCTTATCTTTACTTTACAACATAGACAAAACAATCAACAGAAAACAATTCAATACAAACTCATTCGAACACATTAGAGAAAGATGCCAAATCATCTTAAGCGAGATAGTATCTCCACCCCACATCAATACAATCAATATCGTAGGAACTTTGCCTTAAGAGAGATAGAGGCGTACTCGTCAATCAATCCGAGTACTTGAGCCCTTTTCTTAAGACGATGCAAAGACTACATTCCAACAACTTGTGGCGGTTAAATCTCCCTTAAAATGAAGACTCATCTCTTCTCCTAAAATCAATCAATCAACTACCCTAAACCCGTAGGAACTTTAACCACAGTCAAAGAGCTCCTCAAACCCTTTAGGGGAATTACAAATACTCTGATTTCACTCTCTTAAGGATATGTAGACATAAGATGCGATATCTTATCGAGTATACTTAGAAATAAACCCCCTAGGTCTCTTAACCTTAAGCAGATAAACACATAGCAATAAACAAACATAAAACAAGAGGTTCCTGTAGAGTACTACATAAACTTAGGATGCTAGTACCTTCCCTAAGTTTAACCCTAAGTTTAACCGACCCCCGAACCTATAACTCTCTAGCTTGCATTTGCATTACATCGTGGGAATTTCGATCTTTATCCCTTCCTTTGGACAAATCAAAGTTCGATTGCAAATGAATTAAAGATTCAAACTAATCAATAGTTTGGTATCCGATTTTCACCGCGACAGAAATGGCGACTTCACTGGGGATGCCTCTAGTGGGTTTCCCTATCTTATTTTATCTGTTTACTGCTTTATATATCTGCTTACTTGATTAATTGTTTATTTGTATACTTTCTCTTGTGTCTTTTTGAGGTTGATATCCTTGAGTGGTGAGATAAAGTTCTACACCCGAACTTGAGAGAAATTAAGATAGGATGGTGATATATTCGAGGAGGCTTATAGGGAGTTGAATCCCGACTAAGTTAAATCGAGAATCCCGCTCAATTGAGACCCTCTCGAGATAGTACTGTTGAACGAGTAATCGTGAAGACACTCACTATTTTCGACCTTGGAGCCTATGATATTGAGGACCGTAGTTACCTTAACCCAACTTTGGCCTTTATTAGGATGTAGTGCGGGACTATGAGGGAGTACTCCCAAAATAGTGCTACGCGAAGCTACACTCAAAAGAAGTTCTCTTGAGAATATTATTAATCCTCGAGTAATTGGGAAATTGATAGTATCTGAAAGATGGGCTAATGATTTTGAGTCCCTTTAGAACCTTGTTCTGCAGGTACAATCCACCTTTAGTCCACGTCCTTTGGGAATGGGTATACCTTTGCTCCATGCTCGTTGCAAACCTAGGGTTCCCTTTTGTTTGTTTACCTTTGTGTCCTTATGTTCCTACTTGTGTTTGTTGCATTCATACAGCATCACATCACATTGGTTTCATGGGATTCTTAGTTTATTTATAAACATTACAGAAACCAATAGGGATTACAAAAGAAAATATTTTGAAATATTATTTTAAGAGTCCTAACTTGGATGACCTAAGGAAGTAGGAAC